GTCCTGAGTAGGAAAATTTTAGTCCTTACCTGGGAAAAACAAGGTACACAGCAAAGGAATCAAAAGACCTAGCTAATATATGTGGGAGAGATTTTGGTTTTAGACATGGCAGTGAGGGGGCAGCCATCGCAGAATATAAGACCAGCTAATAGGGATCATGTCATCATGGACCACTGTCCCATAGCTCAGACTTCAATATTTTTCTTAACATTTTATTTTTAAGTAATCTCTACACACAATGCAGGGCTCAAAGCCATAATCCTGAGATCAAGAGTTGCATGCTCCACCAACTGGGCCAGCCAGACACCTCATAGTCTCCAATATTCTTTCCAGGATGGCTAGCTCTCATCTCTGGTAGACAGTTTCCAAAGATGATCACCATCAATTCTTTCCCTTCCCTTATATACGTGCCACTCTTCACATCAAGAGATGGGAGTCTGTTTTCCTCTTCTCCTTGAGTCTAGACTGGCCTTGTGACTTGCCTTAACTAACAGAATATGATAGAAGTGACACTGTTCCAGTTTCAGATCTAAACTTCAAAAAGAGGAAACTTCCATTTCCTCCCTCTTGGAAGCCAGCCACCATATAAGAAGCTGGCACTTCCTCATCCTTTGAAAAAGTATAAATTAGCCATGTGGACACACCATATTAAGAAAGATGACTGGGGAACCTGCATGGTACAGTTGGTTAAGCATCCATGTCCAACTCTTGGTTTCAGCTCAGATCATGATCTCGTGGTTGTGAGATCAAGCCCCACATTGGCTCCATGTTCAGCACGGAGTCTGCTTGGGATTCTCTCTCCCTCTCCCTCTGCCCTTCCTTCCTTCCTTCCTTCCTTCCTTCCTTCCTTCCTTCCTTCCTTCCTTCTCTCTCTCTCTCTCTCTCTCTCTCTCATAAATAAAGAAATCTGAGAGAGAGAGAGAGAGATTATTGACCAATCCCCAAGTATTCTATCCATCCCAGCTGAAGTGCCATTTGTGTAAGTGGAAAGGACATCTTAGACATTTCTTCTACAAATACCTGTAAATACCACATGAAGCATACGGACATCCAACTAAGTCTAACCCAGACTGCAGAATTGTGAGAAATAATAAATTGCTGTTGCTTTAAGCCTTTAAGCATGGGAGGTTGTTATTCAGCAATAAATAATTGAAATATGGTCTTAATAGTTTGCAAGGATGGTTCCTTAAAGCAGGATGGTGACCTACAAGATGCTAGAACTTCCATAGTAGACTATTTAAGAAGAGGTCAGAAAGTTCAAGGAGGTGGGAATGTAAAATCCAAAAACTCAGCCCCTGACTATGTTCTCTAAGAGAGCCCAGAGGACTCTCTTTACTAAGGCAATAAAGGGTTCACTGAGAAAGGGGGCATCAGCATCTCTGGGTAGCTCAGTGGTGTCTGTCTTTGGTAGGCTGAGATGAAGAGTAAGAGATGCCGCCATGGAACTGGGATCCCTAATATCAATAGTAATGTTGAGATTCCAGAATGGCAGAGGTGGCATCCAAGGCCAGGTGAGTATGATTACTGTCAAGGGCAGCAAGGCCAAAGTGACAATGAGGGTGCCTTGATCTCCAGGGATGGATCTATGGCAAGTTGTCTATGGGGATGGGATGGATGGACAGCTGACAGGGTAATCTTCATTTTTATTTATTTAAAAGATTTTATTTTGCTAGCATCTGAATGGCTCAGTCAGTTAAGTATCTAACTGTTGATTTCAACTCAGGTCAAGATCTCAGGGTTGTAAGATCAAGTCCCATATCGGGCTGTACACTCAATGTGGAATCTGCTTGAGATTTTCTCCCTCTCTCCCTCCCTCTACTCTCATGGACAGCATGCTCTCTCTCTTTCTCTCTAAAATAAATAAATAAAATAAATCTTTAAAAAAATTAAAAAAAATTTTTAAAAAGCCTAAAAGATTTTATTTTTAAGTAACATCTATACCCAATATGGGGCTTGAACTTATAACCCTGGGATCAAGAGTCACATGCTCTATAGATTAAGCCAGCCAGTTGCTCCTCTCAATTTTTATATTAAAAAAAACTCAGAGGTGATAAGCAGAAGACTGACATTAGCTGCTGCAAATGGAAAAATCACAATCTCTCATCCAGATCCTAGATCTAAGTTCACATAACCAGAACACTTGAAAACAGGAGGGGCCATGCCCCATTAAGGAACAACTCTGCAGTGAATGCTATCATCGCTACAAGTAGTAAATGTCCCTCCAATCCTTCCCCAAAGGGATCTGCTGACATTTGCTTGGGTAACTGTGCATTGGAAAGAGAAGACTATTCAAGATTTTCATAGACTGTTAAAGACATGGAGTCTGAGCTGACACAGAAAGTAAGAGACACAAAATACTGACAGCTTTCTGGTTAGAGTAGGGACTAATGGAGGTCAGGTAATAGATGGAGTTTAGCCCAAATCCGGTGGATGAAATGATCCTGAAGATACAATGTGGCTGGAGGTATCTGTGATGGATAAAGTTTCTGTAGGGAGCCTATGGAAGCTCAAAAAGGAGAGTTTCAGTGAGGACCCCTGAGATCTACAGCAAGGATATACTCACCATGGTCCATTTTTTTTAAAGATTTTATTTATTAATGAGAGAGAGAGACAGAGAGAGACAGGCAGAGGGAGAAGCAGGCCCCATGGAGGGAGCCTGGTGTGGGACTCGATCCCGAGACTCCAGGATCATGCCCTGGGCCAAAGGGAGGTGCTAAACCGCTGAGCCACCCAAGGATCCCAACCATGGTCCATTTAAACAAAAAAGTCCTGGGATCCCTGGGTGGCGCAGCGGTTTGGCGCCTGCCTTTGGCCCAGGGCGCAATCCTGGGGACCCGGGATCGAATCCCACGTCGGGGCCCCGGTGCATGGAGCCTGCTTCTCCCTCTGCCTGTGTCTCTGCCTCTCTCTCTCTCTCTCTCTCTCTCTCTCTCTCTCATAAATTTTAAAAATTTAAAAAAAATAAAAAATAAACAAAAAAGTCCTGATGTGAAACTAGGTCCTACTGTGACCACCAGATACCAGGTGACTTAAATGTCTTAAGCTAGATGTTATTAGACAGGAATAGCAGCAATCCAATATGATGGAAGTATTATATTCAGGGCTGGACCCACAGGATTCAGAAGGCAGAAGTAAATGAACAGGAAGCTCAGACTCCCATTGTATCTCTGTTGATCTGACATCACTCCTGTAACTCATACCTATGGTCTCATGAAGGATTCCCCTCAATCGATTTATAAAAAAGGAAAGGAGTCAAATCCATTTCACAGACAGGTCAGTATGATATTTTGGCACTAGCTGGAAATGGACTACTCTACTATAGCCCCAGTTGGGTAGCCTTGGGCAGTGGTAAACCCTCTCAGGCGCAGAACCATGAGCAGCGAGCTCTCTTGTCTCCTTTTGCAAGAGATGAACTGAGGTGTAGACAGACACTAATTCCTAAAAGTGGCAAATGGCTTGGAAAGAGAAAGATGTGAATTTTAAAGAAAAGCATATCTGGGTAGGGAGCATAGGTAGGAGTAGGCATTAGGCATGAGGATCTTTGTGTCTCATGTTAACACTCACCAGAGGGACACTCCCATAGTTCCGGGATGGAGTCCCACATCAGGCTCCCCACAGGAAGCCTGCTTCTCCCTCTATGTCTCTGCCTCTCTCTCTGTGTGTCTCTCATAAATAAATGATTAAATAATTAACAAATAAATAAATAAATCTTTAAAAAACAAAACAAAACAAAAAAAAAGACTTACCAGAGACTACCTACTGCAGAGGAGTTTGTCCAGCCAGATGGTCATTTGTCCTGTATTGTGGATGTCAACCAGGCTCTAACTTAGCAACTCTATTGCTTTGTGAAGGATTCATAAAAGAGTGGCCATGGTAGCAAAGATGGAGGCTATGAGGGGACACTGCAACTTGACCCCCTCTCACCAAAGTTAATCTAGCAACTGCCAATATATAGCCAACCAGCCGGCAGTAGGCTTCAGTATTGCAACATAGGTCAGAGAGAACAACAGCCAGCCACTTGGTGGCAGATCAATTATATCAGCCCCCTTCCACTTTGGAGAAGGCAGTGATTCATCCTCATTGGAATTGTTATGTACTCCAAACACCGGTTGTATTTCTTACCCATAGTGTGTCTGCAAGCATTACTATCCAAAAGTTTAAAGAATACTCAATCCATTACCAGGATCAGAGGACCCATTTTATGGCAAAAGCTGTGTGCCAACGGTGTCATGCATATAGGCTTCACTGGTCTTACCAGATGCCTATCACCCAGAAGGAGCCAGCCTGAGAACACATGGAATTGAATGAGCTTCATTTCCACAAGCTTTCAGCTCCTCTGTAGAATTATAAACAATAGATGATACTTCGCAGGACTGTTGTGGGACAGGAAAGACATCATGTATATAGAGTATTTTACACAGGCCCTGGTGTGCAGAAAGTATTCAATAAATGGGAGGCATTATTATGAATGGAATTGTGAAAGGGCTCTGCATCCCAAGAGGAGCTGGTGGTGGGGCTTCACTAAACCCAGCAGGGCCGTGGATCCCTACTCTAGCATGGTCTGCTTGAAATACTCTGAGCTGTTCAGAAAGTCCCTGGCTTCAATTACATGTTTCTGGGGATCCCTGGGTGGCGCAGCGGTTTAGCGCCTGCCTTTGGCCCAGGGCACGATCCTGGAGACCCGGGATCGAATCCCACGTTGGGCTCCTGGTGCATGGAGCCTGCTTCTCCCTCTGTGTGTGTGTGTGTGTGTGTGTGTGTGTGTGTGACTATCATAAATAAATAAAAATTTAAAAAAAAAAGAAAAGAAAAGAAAGTCCCTGGCTTCAATTACACGTTTCTGCCAGTGGATTAGGCAGAGATACTGTCAGTGAGCCAGGTGGAGGGAAAGGGAAAGGGAAAAGAAAACACAGGATGAGTGTAGTAAATGGAAACTCAGATTAGGATTGGTTGGTGGCCTGGGGGAGGAGAGGAGGCAGTCCAAATGTGATTACCTAAAACCAGCCAGCAGCCAGAGAGCTGCTACCTCACTGTACCTCACTGCTGTTCCCATCTAACATCAGGCTCCGGAAAGGAAGAGTCCTCTTCTCCCCTCCTCCAAGGTAAACTCAGAAGCTAGGGGAGGGGTGTCTGGGTGGCTCAGTCAGTTAAGTGTCTGACTTCAGCTCAGGTCATGATCTCAGGGTCCTGGGATCGAGCCCCCGCATCGAGCCCCCACCCTGCATCCCCGCACTGGGGCGGGGGGGGTCCCTGTTCAGCAGGGAATCTGCTTCTCTCTCTTCCTCTGCTCCTCCCCACCACTTATTCTCTCTGTCTGTCTGTCTCTCTCTGTGTGTCTGAAATAAATAAATAAATAAATCTTTGGGGGAAAAAAAAGGGAGCTAGGGAGAATGGATGTCAAGCTGCCAACCTTTGCCGGGCCTCATGCCTGGAGAGCCAGGATACCCATTCCTCAGGGAGGCTATACCCTTGTCCCTTGTAGTGCCATGGGCTAAGACTGATCCAAGGAGATGCGTTGGGGCTTTTAGGGGCTTGTGGTACAAAACTCCAAAAGGCATGAAACTTAGTTTATAGGTGCCAACTCAGCAATCTCTGGCCTTAACCGTGGCACTTCACTTCTTTGGGCTTTAGTTTGTCATCTGTAAAATGGAGCCCAAGATACCTTACCTGCCCAAAGGACTGGACGGTTTCTGTAACCCCTTTAATGTTGGATCTAATGTGACAGTGAGTTCATCTTTGGGGATAAAGTTATCTGAAGTGGTTGTTAGAAGTGTGGGTTTGGGCATCAATTAACTGTGGGTTTAAATCCTTTGCTGGGAAAGGAATGTTTCCTTGCTGGGAAATCTTAGGAATGTTACTTAACCTCTCCCAGTTTCAGCTTCCTTATCTATAACACATGGTTGAGAACAATGGTTGAGAACATGGAGTTGTTATAAGTAACCTTGTGCCTTAAAGTGCTAAGTCCTCAATATGTGGGAGATTATTTTTTAATTCAAGGAAAGTGCCTTGAGCTGACAAAGATCACATCAGAGGTAAGTTTGGGGGCATATGTATTTTCCTATTCTGTGCTATAACATTAAGAGCATAAGGTGTTTTTTTTTGTTTTTAAAGACTTATTTATTTATTCATGAGAGACACAGAGAGAGAGAGAGGCAGAGACATAGGCAGAGGGAGAAGCAGGCTCCATGCAGGGAGCCCGATGTGGGACTCGATCCCGGCACTCCATCACTCCATCCCTCCCGGGATCACGCCCTGGGCCAAAGGCAGCCGCTAAACCGCTGAGCCACCCAGGGATCCCCAAGAGCCTAAGGTTTGAATCTGACAGTGTTGAGTGTGTGTCTAGGCTGCACAATTTGCTGTGTGTTGTTGCCACGCTGAAACTGAAAGCCCCCGGCTCCTTAGAAGCATCCTGGGCTCCATCCGGAGCACCTCGTTCTTGCTGAGCGCGTCCCAAAGGGCACTGGGGACCATCTCCCTCTCCCCTTCTCTAGGCTTGTGGCCGAGCCTGCGCGCGGCGCCACCATGCGGCAGAAGGCGGTGTCGCTCTTCCTGTGCTACCTGCTACTCTTCGCCTGCGGCGGGGTGGAGGCAGGTAGGGATCCCCGCACACCCGAGGGCTGCGGGATAAAGAAGCCGAGAGTTTCGGAATCCCGACAGAGAGTCTCCGGGTCCCTGGTTCCAACACGGGAAGGGCTATTCTAGTGCACAGCCCCGGGTCGCTGTGGCCAGAGTCCCGGATTCGAAGCCCTACACGTCCGTCCCTCCATCCCACCGAAATGTGCTCTGTGCATTCACGTGCCAGGCACGGCGCCGCGGGTGAAGCCTCTTCCCTGCAGCAAGGCTCCCCGAAATGGGAGGTTGGGGCTGGTCCTGAGCAGCAGGCACAGAGGACCCCGCTGTCCCCTCCCGATAGGCAAAAGAAAAAAAGACAAGGAAGATGGCTCGGAAGGCAGAGGCTCCGGGTTCCTGAGAGCGCTGACCTACACGGCCGTCGGAGGAGGTGGGTCGGGAGGGCGGCCGGCTGGGGAGGGGGGCGGGCGCCCCCTGCGGGTGCCCCCTCACCGCCGCCTCTTCCCCCAGGGCTCCTGGCCGCCGTGCTGCCCGCGCTGGGCTTCACGAGCACCGGCGTCGCCGCCAACTCGGTGGCCGCCTCGTTGATGAGCTGGTCCGCGGTGGCGAACGCGGGCGGGGTGCCCGCCGGGGGGCTGGTGGCCACGCTGCAGAGCCTCGGTGAGTGGGCGGCGCGCCCTCGGGCGGGGACGCGGGGGCCGGGGGACTCCGCGTGGCTGTTGGCAGTCTCCGTCCTGCAGCGCTGCAGCGCGGAGACTGAGGCTCCGAGGGACTGAGTCACTTACTCGGGTTGTCCCAGTTAATTCGCACCAGAGTCAGGATTCGAACCTCTTCTTATTCCTCGCTGTTAGCCACCAAGGCCACGTGCTCCACTGATGCTCCGGCCAGGTCACAACAAGCCTCGGTTTCCCCATCTGTTCCCAGGGGTGACCACCCTCAATATGACATTTTATGAATCTGCCCCATCCCAGAGAACCAGAGGGGCAAAGAGGGATGGTGCAGTGGCAAAAAAAAAAAAAAAAAAAAAAAAAAAAAAAAAGTGGTGGAGAGGGGTTCCTGGCTGGTTCAGTCAGTAGAGCATGTGACTCCTGATCTCCCCCTTGTGAGTTCCAGCCTCGTGTTGGGTGTAGAGATTACACTTAAAAAATTTTTTTAATTTTTTAATTAAAAAGAAAGATGCGTTCACTTCTGTCTCTCCTCCACCCCTTTATCTTTCTCTCCCTCTCTCTCTGAGGCCTCCAAAATCCTAGAGAAAAGTTGTCCCTGACAGGCTCCCCTCTGCCTTCCTGAATCTTCCATCTGTTCTCAATTCTGGATGACAAAAGCTCAAAGAATCAGCCCAGAAAAATAGAGCCCTTCACAGAAGGGGCAGAAGGGAAGACAAATCAGGCCACACTCCAGCAGTGGGAGGTGAAGGGTGTGGGCAAAGCTAGGGACAGTCCTGTGCTTAAGATGCTTATGCTCCTGCATGTGGCTCACAGGGTGGTGAGGAGGATGAAAACTCTTACTGGTGAGCCCCCAGACCCCACAGGGAGGTCTCCACTAGGTGGCTGCTATTAGCGTTATTAATAATACAGTGTGGGGATACCTGGGTGGCTTCATGGCTGAGCACCTACCTTTGGCTCAGGTCCTGATCCTGAGTCCCGTGTCAGTCTCCCCGCAGGAAGCCTGCTTTCCGTCTGCCTCTCTGTGTGTCCTTCATGAATACATAAATAAATAATCTTAAAAAAAAAAAAAACAGTGTGTTTACAGCAGATGTGACAATGAGCTATGATTTGTGTATTTTCCATCTCTGAAACACATCTCTGATTTGAGATGGCAAGTAAAGGGGGAGCTAGGATTCTCTTTGTGGAAGTCCTGTTCCCTCTCAGGGCCCCTGTTCCTCTAACTGGAAATAAAGAGGCTGGACTTAACTAATGGTTTCTAGGCGTTTGGATTCCCAGTTCTGGTGCCTGGGCCCCAAGTGACCTGGCTGTATTTGCTTTCCAGGGACTGGTGGTGGCAGTGCCCTCATGGGCAAGATTGGTGCCTTTCTGGGCTATGTCGTCCACAAACAATTGGAAAAGAGCGAGGAGGATGAGGAGTAGCCAGTGCCTACCAGGAACCCAATCCCTCTTCCTGTCGTAGCCCAGAGCTTTCTCTGTCACACTCAGCAGTGACCTGCGTAAAAGCACAGAATAAAATTCTATCAGAAAACGTTTTGCCCTTCTGGAGTCACCCTTGCTATGAGAAGCCCTGCAAGATCTGGCTCTGATTTGTCTTATCCACACACCTCCAAGCCCTTCTCTCCTAAAGCCAACCATAGCTCCCAGAACACAACCAAGTGGTTTTATCTCTGGGCCTCAGCACGTGCTGTTCTCTCTGCCTCAAATGTCCTTCTGAAGCTCATAACCCAGCTGAGACATCCCCTCCTCTGGGATTCCTTCCCAGCAGAGCCTCCTGCCACAGCGTGAACACTCAGGCTCGATTTCACAGGGCGCCTGGGGAGGCAGAGCTCAGTCTGTTCTCAGTGGGAGAAGCTTCCAGCTACTTTTCTGATTAGGCAGAGATGGAGAAGACGGATCTCCATTCTCTGAAGAAGCTCTAGAGTGGTCTCCCTGAGATGGGGAATATAAGGTCAGACCTTTTCCTTGGGGAAAGTGTGTAACAGCAGCTTTCTGAGGGCTCAGTAAGGTTTCCTTCCCTCCAAGAACTCTGAGGATAAAGTGGACAGTTTGCATATGGAGCCTTTACACCTTCTGAGTGGAACAGGAAGGCCAACCCAAAGCTTTGGGGAGATCCAAAGTTAGCGAGGCCTGTCCAGGTGAACCCAGGGTGCCTGGACCTGGGGGTGGGGATGGAGTGGGCACAGAGGTCCTGGAAATCAAATAGCAGTGAAGACAGGGCTTGTGCCAGCACTATAGTTCTGGTCTGTGAGCAGGCACATCAGCCTCCATGCCAAATTGGCCACCCTGGGAAGTAGTCATGTGTGAACCACAGAAGCTGGTCACCAAAGGGCCACAGCAGCTGTGCTCAGCGCCATCCCCCCACTTATAGTCCAGAAATTCTTCTTCAATTACTGATGTGTGTGGGCGGGTGGATGGGTAAGAGTTCCCATCCTGCCTGCTCCTGCCCCCAATCTAATGCCATCTCTGCAGCTGGCAATTGCTTGCCTCAGCTGGCTTGCCCCAGGCCCCAGAGAAGCACTGCCTGTGGAAGAGGTCCAGAGGCAGTAGAGACACCACCTGCTCCTCACACACTCCTCATGGCTTGTGTCCAAGAGCAAAAGCTGGGCTGAGTCCCCTGACCTGATACTCACCAGAGGGCCTCAGCAGAGTCCTGTCTCGGTGACGGCCATCCACAGAGGAGCAGAGAGTGGACTTCTGCCTATGGAGGGAGGTGGAATCTCAAGCATCACACTCTACTGAGGCCTGTACCCCAGTTTGTCTATAAGGTTGACATCCCTTGACACCTTCAGGGAGGGCATTGTCTCTAATTTATCTCTCCTCCCCAGTGCCTGGCACAGGCCTGGCACACAGTAGGTGCTAATATATGTGGGTAGAATCAAACCTGAGGTCAGTCTCCTCCCATCTACCTATCCCTTCACCTTCCTCAATGTTCATGGGAAGGATGACTGGACCTCTTGTACTTTCCCTGGGTGACTCTTGATAATACTCACTGTCACTATCATGTAGGCGTGGGGGTGGGAGACCTGAAACCCCTTTTACACTGTGGTATGAGTAAACACAGGCCTCAAACCTTTTAATCAGCATCCTCCAGCATAGATAAGGCTGGGGTTTTCAAACAAAGCAGTGGAACATAATAGTTAGGAAGTTCCCCTGGAGTCCTATACACCTAACATGAGTTCCTTCACTTCATGTTACTCAGTTTCTTCCTTTTTAAGATTAAAGCATAAAGCAGAGAGGAGGGATGCCTGGGTGGCTCAGTGGTTGAGTGTCTACCTTCTGTTCAGGGCATGATCCCCGATTCCCGAGATTGAGTCCCACATCAGGTTCCCTGCATGGAGCCTGCTTCTCCTTCCTCTGCCTGTGTCTCTGCCTCTCTTTCTGTGTCTCTCATGAATAAATAAATAAAATCTTGAAAAAAAAAAAAAACAGAGAGAAAAAAGCCAAATAATAGCCAGGAACTAGATCACATGATCTTGGGGTCAGGGTTTATTTTCAGGAGCTCACAGACCCTGTTCTTTCTTCCTCCCAAGGGTGGGCATCCTGCCCCCAAGAGCATATACTGCCCCGCACTTATTCCCTTGGCATTAAAAAAAAAAGTATTTATTTAAGACACACACACACACACACACACACACACACACACGAGGGACAGAGGAAGAGGGAGAGAATCCTTAAGCAGACTCCATGCTGAGTGTGGAGCCTGATTTGGGGCTCAATCCCAGGACCCTGAGATCATAACCTGAGCTGAAACCACAAGTGGATGCTTTAACCACCTAAGTCACCCAGGCGCCCCCTCCATTGGCATCTTATTCCCTTGGATAGCTTCAAGGCCAGAGAGAGACAGACAGCTCTGCCCCCAGGATTTCAGATTTGAGGCCTCAGCACTTCTCAGGCTGAATGACACTGAAAATGACCCGTCTCTAAGGAGACACTCTTCTTATCAGAGGATCCCTTGGGTCTGTGCAGGATAACTCCCTGCTTTCATTCTGCAGGCATTCACTGGGCACTCAGTCTGTGTCAGGCACTGTGCCAGCTGCTGAGAACACAATGGTGGAAGAGACCCAGTTCCTACCTCCTTGGAGCCCACAGTGCACACACTAGGAGCCTCCACGAAGCATCTACAACCTCCTTCGACCTCCTTGCCCCCATCTCCTTTCGCGCATCCTGACCCTTGTGAGCCATCATGGATCACAATCATCCTGTCTACAAAGTGTGAGGCAGAATGATGAACACAAACCAGAATTCACTAACTCAACAAGTCAGGAGATGCTAATGCATTTTTAGACTCCTCCGTGGCAATGGCCGTCAAAGAGACAAAAAACTGAGTCCTGGCCCAGCAATAGGTGGTGCTGCTGGCAGGTTACCTGCCTTCTCTGAGTCTTAGCTTCCTCGTTTTCACAACAAGGGGGCTTGGATAGTATGGCCTCTGAGGTACTTCCTGCTCTAAAACTGCTGAGCCTGAAGCACATGCTTCAGAATCCTCTCAGTCCTGTCTGGTCCCAGCCCTCTGAGAGTGGATTTTATTTTTAGAAGCTGCCAAAAGCCACCTTGTGGTGCCAACTTTGGTGACTAAGGTGGGTGATGGTGCCGAGGGCTGCCATGTTTGGTCACAAATGAGGGTGACTAGAAACCAACAGGGCAGTTCCTCACTCTGAGACCACACCCTAAGACAAGTCCAAAAATAGATCCCATCTGTGTGGCTGACTTGATGGAAAACAACACTGAGGTCCTCTGTCCTCATCATTTCTCTCCGGACCTCTCAGTATCCTAGTCTATGAAATGGAGGAGGGGAGGAGTTGGACTCTCATCTAGACCTCAAATGTCTTTCCCTAGTACTCAAGTGAGAGGTGCCTTTCTCTTTAATAAAATCCCTTCACGTAGGGATTCCTTTTATTCAAGAGCCTCCCTGGCCCGCAGACCCTGGAAAAGTCAGCTCCGTCCCTCTCAGGGCAGCCCTCCCCGCATCCCATGGTGCGATGTGCTACTGTGGCCACCAGGTGGCAGTACAGTCCCACCCTGAATCTTCCTCAGCCTGAATCATCCTTTAGCTGCTCCACAATTACCAACAGCCCTCCCAGGGGCAGACCCCACAGTGGATGCTGAAGACCAAAATGAATCGACCTTGCCCCTGCTCTTCCGCAGGAGCTCCTGAAGCTCGCAGGAGTAGTGAATCCTGAGGATCCCTGCAGGGCCTGCCCCTCGTCTCCCTTGCACTGCAGGCCCTCAGTCCTCTGAGGATCTGAGGATCTCCACACTCCCCAACAGAGCATTAGGGACCCTCTGCAATCAGATCTCACCTTCAGGGCTACAGCCTGTGCTTCCAGACCGCTGCTACAGGGATTTAAATGACATGAGAACACTCCACAAACACTTCCCCTTGGCTGGGCAGTAGAGAGTGATGTCAGATACAGGGTATCCCTGGACTCAACCTTGAAAAGGGCCTGGGCCAGCAGAGGGTCTGGGTCAGCAGTAACTGGAGGGAGCAGAGGCAGAGGAGGCCTGTGGCTTCCTGTGAAGAACTAAAGAGCCACTTCCTTTAAGCAGATTGCTGTGGGGGAGGGGCAGAAGAGTGGGGGTGTGGGCTTCCTGGCTTAAGGGAAAAAGAAAGGGGCCCCAGGAAGGCCCCCTATAGAAGTTTGGAGCAGGCTTCCCTTCCCTCCAAGGTTTCCATGGAGCAAACAGTGCAGACAGGTAGGGTCACACTCTTCTCATGTGTTATGAAGCCACAGGGAAGAGTCAGGTTAGGGGCAGGCTCATTTGTCTAAGGCCAGTCAAGAAATGGAGCCTGGGTTACTCAGCCCCAAGTAGCCAAGTCCAAGTACTAAGCCTCAGAGTCCAGTCCCAGACCTCTAGATCCAAGGTATTAGATATATTAACTCATTTAACCCTGACAACAACCCTCTTGGGTGTTATTAGGATACTTGCTTCATAAATGAAGAGGATCAAGACTGAGAAGGGAGGTTAAATGACTCCCCTAAGGTAAACAGCTAGCAAGTGGTAGGACCAGGATTTGAATCTTGACAGGCACTGTAGAATAGTACTTGGCACCAGAGAGGACCATATAAATAATTGTCCAATAAAGGTACTTAATCTCCTTTGGTCCCATCCATCCCCCCACACTCAATCCAGCAATCAATCAGCCTGTAGAACCTATCTTCTAATTATTTCTGGAGTCTGTTCACGGCTCTCCACCCACATGGCCCCTCTCTCTCTCTCTCTCTCTCTTTTTTTAAAAAGATTTTATTTATTTATTCATGAGGGACACAGGGAGAGAGAGAGAGAGAGGCAGAGACATAGGCAGAGGGAGAGGCAGTCTCCATTCAGGGAACCCAGTGTGGGACTGGATCCCAGGACCCCAGTATCACCATCTGAGCCAAAGGCAGACGCTCAACCGCTGAGCCATCCAGGCATCCCTTTGGCCCCCCTCTCATCATCTAGCTCACTACCCTCAGTCCTGGAGGTCACCTACAAGGTCTTCCTAATGGGTTTCCCTGTGTCCACTCTTGTATATTCTCCACAGAGTCAAGA